CCAAATAATGGTTGTACGGCAGTGAAGCATCGGTGTTGAGCACTGATGTCATGCTGTCGATGATGATGATGATGATGATGATGATGATGATGATGATGATGATGATGTAGGATACTACGGCAAGGATGGTCCCGTTTGTTCAAGATACGATAGGTCCCCCCGAAGTCGCCGAAATACACTAGCTATGTTTATCTGCGTAGGCCAGATTTGTAATACCCCTCACCATATTAGTCACCATTATTTGGGGGCAAATCGAGTGTTGTCGGGCTTCTGGGAAGGATCACCAAACTTGTATGACCACTCGTTTAAAAAAAAAACAGATGCACGCGGTTAAAAGCTAGGGAAGATTGCCGGCTTAGATGCATCAAACGCCCGACTAACAATATCAAGAAGACGACATACTATGATGGACTAAATAAACTAAGTCCAGCTGTTAGGACGTCATGATCGCACATTTCGAAGAAGCGTTATAAAAAAACGAACTCCAAGAGACAATGGCGACGTATCAGCAATACTTTACGCCGGAACATGTCTAAGATGGCCTTATCCATCATTGACAAATCATCCAGGCTACCAACATTTGTGTGTGTAACGCTGCTGTCACTCGGAGGAAATTACCCTCCAAATTTTTACGTCGTCGGCAAACAGTAGATGGTTTGCGGTGCCCAAGGAGGCCAGGTAGATAACGAACTGTAAAAATGGTCTAGGATGGCATCTGAATTGAAGTGATTTTGACAAGATTGTTGAACCAGTACCTTCAGAGCTCTTCCGCAAGGGAAGTCTGCGGATCGTGTTGGCAATGACTCGTAAACACCGTTCATCAGACGCTTCGGCACGAAAATGCGATAATCCACGGGATCCAAGGCTTTTGAGAGACCTAAGTGCATTACAACTTTTCCTGTACGCACAACCAAGGTTTTGATCTCGTCAACACAGCCCGCCGAACGCTGGGTGTGCATGAACACTGTCGGTCGAATGAGTGTTCTTAGGGAGTCACGGCTAGTCAAAGCAATCCACGATTTTGTCGGTTACTGTAATCTTGGATTTCACTGGCTAGGTACACACCAATATGTGATTGGATTCCATGATACCAGGTATAAAAATGAGTGTGATCATTCCCTGTTTCCACATTGAAAGAAAACAAATGCGCTCGACATTGTACTAAAAGAGGCACAGCTCCGACCACTCCACATAGGGAGATCTGTTACGTTTAAAATGGAATTGCTCCCCCTTCTTGGATAAAAATCAATTCGGCAAACTGTACTCGACTCAATGACGTTAATATAAGATGATTACACTTTGCAGAACGTACCATATCTGTTTGAAATTTGTTGGAAAACAGACATTGCTTCTTTCGATCTGTATAAAAAAGAGGATAGAGAAGATAAAAATTCGCCAGATCAGTTTGAGAAACACACAAGCACAGAATAGAAGAACCTCAGCAGCCTACGGCTACTTTAGTTAAAAGTCTCTTGCGTTCACGCTAACCGGTCCCCGTTTTGCTTCGAAAGCAATCCGGGAGTTATTTGAATACCCATTAGTTCGAGTTTAAATCTAGCTCCTTAACGAATTTATCATCTCTACATGCGAAATTACGAACCAAAACGCGTGCACGCGACACCATGCATGCCTCTGTGGAATGTAACAAGCTTGGTCGTTTAGGGGGCCTCCGAATTTACGCATAAACATGCGTGAGAGCAAGGGCTGACACACATTGTTACCTTCTTTTGACCAACGCTGTGGTGCAAACTGGCTGGACCGCAAGGTAATACGAATTAATCTTGACGTCACAGTCAAGAGAGGAAGCCAGTCTCGCTTGCGAACGCCAATACAGAAATCATCGATCGGGAACTTCGTCAGTGGCTAGCTGGGAACGGAGGGAGCGGGTCGCTTAGCGAAACAGCCGGTTTGGCCATAAATGGTTGCAGATAATTCTGTCTCGTTGAATTAAGCAAATTGGGAAAGATTATGTCTTGTCGCGTCCTTATGCTTTGAGAGAAGAATGTATAGAACAGTTTATCTGACGCGCACCACACTCCAGAGTATCACTTTTACGCCCAAAACAATAGTAGACAGTCTGCTGCGCCCAGTTTGGCGTGCACACTTATGATGGATGTTATATACCACAAAAACGAGCACACTCGCAATTCTACCCAATAAAGTTACTTCCGTAGGTATATGGGAAGTTTAAAATATTTCCGACTGAAGTATCCGTTTTTCGGTTGGGCGATCCACACTCCGGCGAGCGGTCTGAAAATGACTGAACTCGGAGTCAAATCCACGGGTAGTGGAAAATGGGTACGGCAGTCACACACCAACTGTGATGAACTAACCTTTGACGTTTGAGCATCTTGTAATATCGGTTTAAGCACTACATCACTCTAACTTAGTGTGCACTGAAACCCCAAATGTTAGGTGTGTGCATCCATGTCTATCCAGGTCTTGCCGAACAGATTAATCCCATTTATTCCGCCAGACTACTAACTTTTATTTCAGTAAGCGCAAAAATACCAATAACTCACCAAAATAATCCAGTACAAATAGGTCAGGTTGGGGTGCGCTGCAGCGTTTGATGTTTGGGATACTGATAAATTTCTAAAAGCAGAATGGAGGCCAATAGACAACAGTGTGTTAGACACTACGAATAACTGCCTGGATGGTTGCACGCACAAAAGTTGAGAACACACATTAGGCAAGTGATGACGCCACGTTCGATGAAAAGCTACAACTTCGAAACTTATCATGGACTGTATTTTAGGCATGAACAAAGGGGCTAATAAAGGTCTTGAGCATCATATGTGATCAATCGGTGCTCAGCTAAATCTTCTAGCTTTGTCTTGAAGAGCAAGCTTGTCCAAATCAACTGTGGCGGATGGTCTTCAAAGAAGGGGCTCGTGAACAACGGAAAGGCGGTAGTAGACCAATCCTTGTTATACCAACATATTTAATGCAATTTCTGCACCGTGACTGTAACAGGACACGCAGGCTTATAACAAGTCCGGGGCTTCCGGAACATCTCTATCGTCTATTGCGTGTTATAACGACGGTAAATGTATGCCATCACCATTCGGAGGTTGTCCAGTTCTCTTGACCGGTCCATTCTTCTGGACAGACTTGTGCAACCGGTGAAAGGAAGAAGGCCTTCGCTGCGGAGTTATTTATTCGGAGATGCCAACTGACCGGTTACAGACTATTGAACAGGGAAGCAAAACTCTAATCTGCATCTTCTCTTGAACGAGTCATCCTAGAGATTCGTTGCCTCCACTCATTCGTCGGTCAAATCCAAGCAAATGTTACAAAGTGGCCCCACGAATTCCGCCACGGAATTCCTTTTTTCAGTCGACGCAAAGCGAAATTCTATGAACAACACATACTACTCGCGTGCCTCCCGATCAGTAGTATCACCGTTACACCGGTAATGTGCTCAGAGTATCCTAATATAATTAGCTCTTTCGTGTGCACAAAACTAGAGCCCGTATAAAGGCTTTCCAGAAGTAGCTTTCCCCAGTGCTGGTAAAATTGTTAGGTCAATTGGTAACCAAAAGGCTTCCTGCTCAAATACTTATGGTCAAAATGCCTACGAACTGAAACACATGAAGATTGTACACATTTTCGAAAACGATGAAAAAAAGCAACGCTTCTCCTTAAAGAAAGATCAGTGTCACGCAAAAATAACACTCCAGAAGTTAGTGTATGATTAGGTACTTTGCGTTTGATATAGAAAGTTAATTGTATTGTGATTGGCATAGATGTCCACTTATTTCGGACGCTGTAGCAGTGCTGACCACGACGTAGATGAATCTTGAATTCCAAATTCATACTGACCAATCCAGTTTCTGTTGAATAGTTCAAGATACTTTATTCAGTTTAAAAATTTGTGTGTGACAGTTGTAGCGAGGTTGCATTTTTTCCGGTCCCTTCGAGTTCAAAAACTGGGTTACATTCAGATCTCTGGTCAGTGATGCCTCAGAATCAAAATTGCTATTGATTATTAATTGGTACTTGATCCTGTGAGTGAAGTCGAACCATGGTGAAAAGCCGAGAAACACTGTACAGCTGTTTTATCCCTGTCATCAACAGCGGGTCAAACCCGGATCCTTCGGGTTAGTGGTAGAACACTTAATCGCTTGGTAACAAGATCGGCAGTGTGACAAGCTCTCACTTAGACAGAATATAATGCCGTTCATCTTCCAATCATGTCACGTGCTCGCTTATTGACTGGCTCCCTCGGGGACAAAACCTCAGATAAAAGTTTCACTCATCTTGTGAAATTATTCTTCCTCTGAGCAACTTATGGATTGATACTATAGATCAGTCCAAACGAATACATGAGTGAATGATTAGAGAAAGTAGCAAACAATCAAATTGCGGAATATATTTAGCCTGAGAAGCCGCGGTGATTTGGTTGTGTTACAAGTTCCCTGATTTATCGTCTATCGAGATGATGCCCTGTCTCGCGATTATGCATAGATATAAACGTTCCCAGATGATTGCGGAGACAAAGAGCGAAATGGGTCGGTGGATATTAGGCAGTTGTGCCTTGTATGGTACGAAACTGCACGGTAAATCATATTGTTACGTGCAGAGCAGGGGATCCTCTTCAACAATCCTCTGATAGTACGACAAAACCCGAATGTTTAACTGACAGCTAAAAGAAAGTGGCGGCGGATGGTGTGCTTATACAGAATGGTGTGCGGAATAGCCATCTATCTTTCAAAGAATAAGGATCCGCGAATATGAACAAAGATGCTTGGAAATCGAAGGGTATATGCATGCAAAATTACAAAGAAAATCATGTAAAAAAAGAAAAGTAACTGAATAGAGGACAATGTTGTGTTCACCAATGAGACGCCATCTTCCTGATCCGGGGGAAATGTATATCCTCGTAGCACATGATTTATGTCACCGCCATCATGTGAATATTGATCCAACTGCAAAACCTAGGTAATCGGTTGATCATTGTACAGATGGTCACGCTGAGCAGTGGAATTTTTATGACTCAATAAATGCGCTGTGATAGGACAGAGTAAGACCAGTCACATTCGTGTCATTCAATGAAAATTAAGAAGAGGGCCAAATGGAGTACCGCAGGTTATAGACGGGGCGATAAGACAAATAGTACGCTGTACCCCCAAACATCTAGTCTGAGAAGGAATCTCATGTGTGCTCATGTGCATTTTGGGATTCCTGAGAATGGAGGTTCGACGGAGCCTTGATACAATAAGCAGCACGCAGGTTCCTTCGAGATTCCGTCGAAAACGTAGATTGCTCCGTTTTGATTTAAGCAGTATGGATCAGTCAAATAAGGAGAAAAAGGCTCACTAAGAGAGCTATCTCGTGTACAAATGGTCCAAATGTGGATGTTTTCGCCATGACATCGGAAGATTCCTAGTGGATATAATCCTCTTGTTGTCCTACATTAATTGTGAGAACATCGTGACTGTGATCCTATCGTCTTACCACACTGTGTTTGGTGTAATCCCACTCTGTGTGCCGCCACCCGCATAAAAGATATTCCACCGAAAAACAGCTGCATTTGTGCATAGTTTTCAACAATCATTGGGAAAACTCCAAATCCGAAGGGGTCAACTACCGATCTGTGATCTTTGGTTCATTCTACGCCAATACGAAACATCCTCCACTCTGTTCACCATTATCACCGTCGGGCAAAGAACACCTATACTATGCTATACATGGAGAGGTTTGCCGCAGACAAGAACATTACTGCATGTCGACTGTTGAAATTAAAGAGGGTAGCACCACCAAGGTTAAGGAAAACAATCAAAACGTATGAAAGATTCGAATTCATGATCAACTTACTTTCTGGTTGCCAAATTTGAGGAAGAAACCATCAGGAAATAGTTTGATGGTTCCTGGACGCTGACTTTCCATGCATACCACGTTTAGCTCACCACCTAAATCGGTAACTATAAAAACCGGTGGAGTAGAGAAGAATGAATACGTTCCGAAAATGAAACAAACAAAAAATCACCGATATGGAAAACAGCAGAGAACAAACTAGGGTTACGGTTTCTCTAACCAAATAATGAGACACACCACGGGCGACTGAATGGACAGGAAAATTACGTGGCCACCCTCACCTAAGAAACGAGATGAGTCGACAAAGAGTCGGCTGGGTGAGAGAACTAAACATGATAAACATGAATAAAGTAACAGGTAATTCACCTGAGTTGAGATCGAGATTGCTTGGTGGTCAAAGCGCGAAGTTACTCACAGAAAGGTCTGTGGTTTGAACCCAACCTCTGCATCTCAACCTTTCCTGTCTAGCCTTGGACAACTTGGCAGCACCTCAGTCTACGTGTTTCTTTCGGGTAGCATGGCAAATGGTCGCCGGAAGGGTATTATAGCCGAATTTTCTCTTTTTATTTTACCTAGGCCGAATCCTTGTTTTTCAACAATGTAAAAGACCTTAAAAAAACATCAGATAGGTTGGTAACAGCGGTCATGTTACCAGTTGGGATACACCATCCTCAACTGTGTTTGGCCTACTGTTGCTGAGGTACATATCACACGCGCGATAGCGATTGTCAATCGGCTTTACCAATTTACTGGCACTAAGTATTCAGTGGATGTTCTACACAGGTGTGAAAAAATGAAGGACTTGATACACACACGAAACAAAAGGTTGTCATACCTTCTGCTAATCAAGACCTAACCTATAGTGCTGGCCTTGAGCGGACACCCATGATAGGCGTCTACCGTCACAAAATTCCTCACATACACGTACTGATTGCGGTCGCTAACCAAGTGCCAGTTTCGGCCCGGGGCATAATAACTCAAAAAAGTTGTTTATTGTGTGGTGCCATCTTGGTGTTGTAGCAAACTATGTTAGGGTCCCATCGGATCATACTCCATGGGAAAAAAATATCAGTCTAATTCCCTAGTGGCCTTTACAGCAGTGCAAAACGCGTTGAGAAACGGTTTCACGCTAGGAAAAGAATGCACACTCTCTATCAAGAATGATGCAGTTCACAAAATGATGCGCCCAACAAAACTCAAATTGTGACGTAGAATTTCTTCCAATGCACAGGCAAACCAAATGCGCAGAACCACGAAAATAAAACCCAACGGGAGTTGTAAACTAAGGGTATAAACTAAATCTCAAAACTTAACAAGGGGATGATAATGTGGAATGTAGGTGGTGCACCTTCCATCACGGAAGAAAGCAGACCTCTCCCATCGGAAACGCATTCGACCAAAGACCTCCGACGATGTAATCGCAAAGTGATTTACCCTCTGAAACATATCTTTAACCAGATAACAGAGCATGAACACCGGATGTTGGGCTCATGAGTGCCATCAGCCCAAAAAAAGGCACCCGTGATAGGTTTAAAACGGTATTTACTTGGATTCACACGCAAAGCTAGACAGGAAATCAAGGAGGGAAACACAGTGAGGTTAAAGTGAGGTGACATACAAACTGTGATTGATTGGATGGAGAATCTATAGAGAGAAAAACGCAAGTGAGTAACACGATAAAACGAGTGTGTCACGTTCAAACATGGTAGCACCATCCCAATATCAGAGAAACGTCGATTAGGACAAATGGTAGAGTTAATGCCAACAAAAACGTAGCAGAAAGCTGCGACGTCGAACTTGTCATCAACTGTAATCAAAACCTGAATTTGCCATTCTAGTCTGAAAAATCGCGTCGGTATGTGATCGAAATCCAGTACAAACTGGTCTCCTATCATTCATCAGAACACCATCGTGCTTCCGAATGAAGGATGATTTTGACTCATCTAAGAAAATTAGAGCCTGAGCGATTCTTTAATGATGAACTCAAGACGAGGTTCAAAGTTAACGAATAGCATCTATCAAATATTTATGATTCTATGATGAGTCGGGCACAGCAATCACATCACTCAAGTGTGAACACGTCCGTCTCTTCAGATGTGATAATTCAGATGCGTCCAGCGTGCGTTGGTGGAGTAGTGGTTACACGCTCGCCTCGTATGTCAGATGTCCGGAGGTCAAATTTCGGCACGGCCATTGGATATGCACTGCTGATGAGCTCTAACAAGAGCGAAACTCGAGTCCAGTGCTTCCCTTTGGTGTGGACTCACCGGAATAATTATGCCAGAACAGGAACACGGCCGTTCAAACGAGAGTGATGTGGCTATGGACGATTCCACAGATATATATTTAATCGGCTAAGCTATATATTGCGCCCCGAAGCGCCATATCCTCAGTCACCCTACATTTCCAGAACAGTCAAGTCAACCGAATAAGTGAATCTGACAACACATAATGCCGGCTATTCATTCCAGTTGAACACAATTGGAAATCAAACAGATGCGGAAAGTTTGACAAATCTAAACTGCCTCATTGGTAGTCGAAGCCTAGACATCTGAACTACAAACCCCTCCAATCTGAAAGAATACAAAACGCATCGTATCCGAATGTTACATGGTTCCAACGGAATGTATACTGTGCAATAAACGTAGGTTAGCAATTAGAACGAGGTGAGATTATGGCCCGATTGGGTCCACAACAATGCCAGTTTGAGAGGAATCATATACTGTTGCACAATGTGGCTTGTGGGCTGTCTCCAATCATACAAAAGGGCTGTTAGGTAAATGACGATCAGAGGGAGAGAGATGGACTCTACCAAACTGAGAAAAGGAATGGTCACGATCAACATTCTGCCGTATGAACTGGGGAGAGAAATTGTCAAGAAAATGGAGTCATGAAATAACTCAATCGCATTTAATTTTCTATAGAAATATCGAAATGAACTCTGAGGTGATTACTCGCTCTAAACAAATATCACATACAGAAGTTCCTTCTCACAAACTGAGGCCACTACGGCAGCCTCTATCGGAAGTGAACTTCCTTCGAGATAGTGTTTAGTGTGATCCAAAATCAGCTTTCCAAGTTGTTGAAAATCGTGAGAAATTGTGGAAGCTCATGGAATCTTCCTGAAAAGCCGTACGGTGCACTTAATACCAAATCGCGACAGTTTTTTCTCGACATTCATCGAAAAAAAACGAATTTCCAAGTTATTTCATAAGTTAGATAGATTTGGTTTACGTCACTTCTGATCGATGTTTGCTTGTATTTCGATTTGCAAATAAAACCCAACAGAGAACCTATCCTCGAATCGACATCATGGTTTAACACGGATACCAACTAGTCGCGGAAAAAATCACGCCATCTGCCGTCAGTTTAATAGACGGATAAAACTTCATGTACCAGACTTTGCAGAGCAACTGTTATCCATCTCCAAAAGCAGGCATGCTATGTACCGTACACTTCGACAGGATGGTAACCAGAGATGTGCGGAAGATCCACTTGGAAGGTCATTTACTTCTATCCCGTCCCCGCCAACATTCAGTAACCCGCAAATGCAGTCGACAAATTTCAACCTTTAAATGGCCTCCAAAAAAGTAGGTTTGGGAAGTGAAGATGGCGTGTGTAGATATACCTAGTCTTGTGGAAATCTGGCAAAGAATCCGCGATGTGGACTTTCCTAGAGAATCGAATGACGGCGCTGCACAGGAAAGCGAAGGAAATCAAACCTGCTCACAAACGGTGTTTTAGATCTTCGCGGCCATGACAGGAAAACAGCATCCTGTTTCGAATGACAATTAAAACCGTGGACTGAGCAACCCGTAAAGCTAAGGAACTACGATACCTATGAGTACCGCAAAAACCGAAGGCGACGCACTGTTAACTAGAGATTGCAGGCGGTTAACAAACCACAATCTCATGAGTTCGTTAACATTACATTACGTACGTCCGATTTCAGTAACAACCCTAAACACTTCGGAGTCTGTTTTCAAACCCTGAAAACCAGTTTACTTAGCTGCCTTTAACGTAAGCACCCTAAAGTAAGCACGACAACAGCGGGCTCGAACTTGATGACGCACTGATGCGTGTCGTCTTTTACAAAAACGGATACAGGATGCAAGTACGGTGATTGAACCGACTGCCTCCTCGCTGTCCTCCAGATTCTAGCTGCGCACCTGTGGTAATGCAGAGACCACTGCAGCTGGGTATGTCGGGGTTGGTATTATATTCAGCGATCGAGCGGAAGCGTCTCTACCTGCCCGTTGTTGATAGTTGACTCTGCGCTGTTCGTTTGGCTGTCCGTCTGAGAGATAATCTCGAGAATAGTAGGTCCATCGCAACCTGTTCACTGTGAGCCAACGGATTCCACCTCTAAATCTGTTAAAGAAAGCTTCTGAGACGATTGAGGTGCTCTTTTACAATGGGCTAAAAGCTGAGATATCGATGTGGCTGATGGTGACAGGAACATCCAATTAGGTAAACTAAGCGCTGCTGAGGTCCGACTGGGTGGTCATCTTGGATTGGACACGAGACGCACGGACAACAGAGATGTTACGCACGCCGAAACACCGTCTATCGAGGTGAGTGTTGTTACTCCGTGCCTACTTCACAACGGTGCGAACCGCGAGTGAACAACGTATGAATTGGCAGAAGTGTGTGAAAGAAATTAGGAAACGTTCCAGGGCTTTTAGTACGGTACACCCTCCTGGAAGAGTTCTTGTGATTTCTCCTGCGCTTGGCTGGAGACATTGGATGAAATGGCCACTGGTCAATGTCAGTCGAACAGCTCTGAGTAACAAACTAGTTCGCAACTTTTTCTTTTGGCCTTGCTTGTCACATGTTTGACATAATCTTTTGTAATAAGCAAGAGAATGAGCGGTCGAAAAGTACTCCACGCTCTGATGAAGATTTTCGAAATCTTGTTGATTTATTCAACCTAATTGCGGATGCAGGAAAGGAAATTCTGGTTTTATGCATGCATCCTTTAGCATCCCTTTTCAAAAAGTCACTTCTGATGTGTGTATTCCAAGTGTTCTGGTGGACACTTTTCACAAAATTCACATGGATTGTTCTGTGTGAGATATAAATGACTAACATATAGGGTAGTGCATAGACAACTGTTCTGAGCTGGTGGTTTTCAAAAACGTTCCTGATTTTAAGATCGCTTACCAATGGCTATGAAACACAACGACCATAAGACGTGAAAGGGTACTAGGAAATCCCGTCAAGCAGTGTGAAGGCTTTACAGAGTTTCGGGGTTAATCAGTGAACTACGTTCACGAACTTCCGTCCTTAAACAGAGCATAAATATGGCAGATTCTGATATGCTCCTATTGCAAACGCTGATTGCAAACGCACTGGACTACTGCATCGTGGTTACCCGAGTAAGTGTAGAAAGTTCCCAGCGCAAACAACCAAATACGGCGGTTCGACCAATTACTTTCTATAACAGAGGAAGGCATGAAAAATTATCCAAGGATTTGGGCGCAAATTAATAACCAATGAGTCAGTTAGTAGAGTGAACCACAGAAAAAACTGGGGAAACGAACTCACCGAGTGGTCCACGATGAGTCTGAAGTGAAGCCAGCTCCACTGCTCGTCGAATCTCATGGTACAGTTGTTGACACTAAAGTGTACAATAACAAGGAAGGGTGACACATTGAAAAGGGTGTAACTGTTCACGATAAACGCAATCTGAAAAGAGAGCGCCAGAAGCAAGCAAGGAGCTTGTACGCTAGTGGTAATGCTGCCGACTTCTGAGTACTAAAAACTGAGAGTTTTGAGGCAATGTGGATACGAGAAAACAAATGAACATGTAAATCCGATATTCCGTCTCTGACCCTAGAGGGGGTCACAGCCATCTCCGGAACGAAGAAGATGAGTTTATTGTGGCCCATAAAACTTAGACACCCTGTGGGCCAGTGATCTTAAGAAAAACAGAGCGGGCGCGTACAGTGCGCATTTGCCCAAAAACACCACGTGGAGCAACCAAGTGATCAATAACGGGAAACTCGTGCTCATAACTCAACTGACAACAGAAATCAATCATACTACGAAGTATTATAAAATGTGCTGGCTACGCCAACGCATGCATTGAGGTAAAAAAAGGCATATCGCCATACATGCCCGCACACCACATTGTTCCTTCGTTCCTCTACTATATTTAGAGAAAGGTTATTTATGAGGAAGCATGGTTCAGCTGTAATACCCTTTCAGTGCTTAACTGATATGTCACACGAAGATAGCATGAGGGCTGGGCTACTACCAGGTTGCCCAAGCCTAGACAGGGGAAATCGAGGGGCGGAGGTCGGGTTCGAACCCTGACCTTCCGGTCAGCACATTCGCGCTGTAACCACTGGGCCATCTCGCCTCTATAGAGACGTATAGGGGGAAAATAATTTACAATCTAGCACTGGTGAGATCATTCGACAGCCATACCAAATGGTACAGCTACTCACCCGCTTTGAGTAGAACAGATTCAAGTGCGACTGTCCGTTCGTGCGAATCGAGATACCGAGGATGTGAGTGTGTGGACGATGGGTTATATTGATCAACTGATCGTACCACCATCGATCCAATATGGCACCAGAGAGGCTTCGCAGTAGCAGGCAATCGTCACACACCTACAGGTGACAGATTCCAATCAAAATGGATGAAGAAGTTTATGAGTCTGACAATAAGCTAGCTGAAAGACGACCGGACAGAAAAGCGATCAGCTTAGCACTGTCTAACAGCTCTGTTCGCGGCACTAGTAATTAAACATGGGTGAAACAGGTGCTGATTCGAAGTGCGATAACTTCGTACACAGAGAATCGTGGGGATGGCCAGAGGGTACCAGGCAAGATACGAAATGAACTGGCAAATCCAGTAACAGTGAGAAATGGATAAGCAATTACTTGGGTGCTCCGCTGGCTACGCCATCTATTTGTTGCTGTTAACTGGGGTCCCCGAGAAACAGCGGTTGGCAAATAAACCTCCTGGAATGCGTATAGTAGTTTGGAAAAGCCGTCATGCGACGACAGTCCTGCAACGAGTGCAACCTATCGAGCGAAACTAGTCTGTTTAATTTGGATGACCTTGGAAAACCTCAGTAATACAGATTCAATATTTCTATGGGACCCGGTTATTAGATGAGACAAACTGCAACTATTACAGTCGAAAGTTAGGGGCCGTCATCCGCAAACTAGAAAAACACTTCGTTCCCGATCACATCTTGGAGCTTTCGAGTTATCTATAGGGATAAAACGAATCCGATAATTTAAATCGAATGGTTTAATGCATATTTTGAAAATACCGACCGAATATATGGTCCATAGATAGTCACAGATCAAAACTAAACACACCTTACTTAATAAAAATAACAGATAATCATTCAGCTGTAAAACCCTTTCAGTGCCTAGCTGCCATGTCAACCAAAGGGAGCACAATGGTTGGGATACTGCCAGGTTGCCCAAACCTAGACAGGGGAAGTCGAGAGGCAGAGGTCGGGTTCGAACTGCGGACCTTCAGGTCAGTAAATTCGCGCTCTAACCACTTGAATCATCTTGCCCTTGCTTACTTAACAGCTAAACTGGCAAAACACCGACTGTCCGGGTGTTGAGTATCCTCAAGGAAGAACTTGGCCCTACCAACTCGGAAGTATCCAGCCGGTTCTATAAAATTTGATTAAAAATGATACACAGCGCATCCTTCACTACGGAGTAAATGTATGGCCTACAAGACATTCGATCAAATTCCTGGCCCTCGAAACGAATATCTAACTTAAAAAAACTTGTCATGTATGTTAATGATTCATGTTCGTGTATTTGGAATATAATTCTCGCACAGTGGTCAGTAAATATGATATGCTATCTGAAAGTCTAACTTTTGGCGAAATCCCATTAACTGAGAAGTGCGGTAGAGGGGGGGCACTGTGAGACCTTCGCTTAAACTCAGTTTGCATTTTTCTCCTCCTGAATTGTTTGACTGTCTGTCTCAGATCAATCAACATATACAAAACATCGTCTGTGATAGGCTAATGAACAGAAATTCCCTAATTAGCTAGTGCTGCCATATTGGACAGTCCAGAAATTGAACGTGATTCGACAGAATGAAGATTAACTTTGGTTAAAGTCGAGATTCCAAACCAAGTGAAGCCTGGCTGTATCATTGGCTTCGTGATATTTTCCCACGCAAAGCAAAACCAACCTAATAACTGTCTGCAGTTGGGAGTCATCAAACTGAGACGGAGTGCGATCAAGCATGGTTTATCTGCAATAAATGTTTCGCAGAACAGACTTCTATGTTATCGTGACGATTGAGGGAGAGAACCGATCACCTCACCCCGCGGTTAACAGCGCGGGGTGAACCGATACGCATGTTATGTAGGGACGGAGGTTCGGGAAACCTCATATGGAATACCCAGTGGCTCTCTTATATTCCAACAATAGTGTAACCCTTATGCCGATAACTGCCTAGTCTAGCAGTCTAGTCCAACAATCACCAGCCACATCTGAGGAGTAAGAACATCTTATTGCCTGCCTGTCTGACGGCCTAGAATGGCTATCTGGATTACCAACCACGCAACGCCGCATTCATGGAGCGGCTGGTCTCACAATGTTGATTAAACAAACTAGGCCCATACTGTTGAGCGCATCTCATGTTTTTTTTGCTACATGCGAAAGATAAAACCACCTTTTGCAAGTACAAGCAGCGTGGTGAACTAGTACCGGAGCTAACCAGTGAAACCATACGTGCGCTTGAACAATTAGACTACGCTTGGAGGTTTCACGACCAAGATGCATGTACACACACACGATTTATCACTGGTGTGTGGTCAAGCAAAATAGACCGGCGAAGCAGGACAGACCCAGATCGACCGTTTTTAAATCGATGAATCAACAGCTCTATGTTGAATGACTCGTCACCATACACGTGTGCTGCGAGTGGACGCGAATAGCAGTAGCAATTAACAATAGGGACACACTGTTGACCTAGTATAGATAAGTCAGGAAGTCATATGAACCTAGTTGAGTACGGTGACATAGGGTTTGAAACACTAGTATATCTATTGAAAACAATGACTTACCTCTATAAACACCAGCTCACCGTCGTCATCTGTACCCCAACGGACTTCGTAGGAACGCAGAGGGATTGTTCTGCTTTGAATTGTTTTCAAATCAATATCGTTCCCGGCCTAAAGAGGAAAGAATAACAGGGGAACGAGGCACATTGAATTCCGAGACTGGTCAACAGAAAATCGCAACAGTGAACTAGTCGAATAGAGGTGTGTCACGTGTTTCAGAGGAGATAAAAAAAACAGCAGACGACATGTAGGCAGTCGAGCATGGTTTCATCCCTCAGGTTGGAACAATGGGACCACAGAGAGTACTTGTCCAAGTTGAAACCGCGGAAGCGAGTAGGCCACTGTCAGTATGGTCGTCTACATCACAGATCGTTGAAAGACGTAAACATCGACAATATCTACGACAAGACCGATGCGCGGTACAATATGCTCAGTCATATGTTTGCAGGTTGTCTCTTTTAGCGTGTGGGACAGTAGTTCAAAACTAACATAGGTAGACAGGAATAACTAACTCACAACCTGGTTGAAAAAAGGTCAACTGACATGTGATACCGGTGAAGAACAACTTGTGGACGTGATGTACATAGCAGTACATACGAGTGCATCGTGTGCATACCATACACTATATAGGCACTGCATACATAGTACATACGCAGTGCATATATATACGGATAAACAATAAATGCAGTATTTTCTGGGCGACGCGATTTCTGAAAAGCGTAGAAAATCCAGTCCTACTGGGGAAATGACCGCTTAACACAGTGACGAATAGTCTAACACTTGTCACTGCACGGTCGTGTCGCTACAGGGAAGCTCGGCAGATGCGGTGGGGGGGGGGGGGGGCGACTCTAACTTCTGGTTCGGCCGCTCCACATCGAAGATGACAATTCCGCGAATCATGAGTGTATCACCATGATCATCATCATCATCATCATCATCATCATCATCTACAGCATGAAATCAGTGTTCAACATCGATGCTTCCCTGGCTTATTTGAAACCTCATTGTGAAGAACAGAATTAAGGTGAACGGGGAGTGAACCTAATGCTAGCTTACTACAATCATTCTGAGGTGCCTACACCTCCAAACACTGATTTCGGCAATCTGGATAGAAACCGACAAGAAGAACGCCACTGACATCGGTTGGGAGCCACATTTTGTAGTGTTATCAACATGGCGGTCTACGGAATTGGGACATTTTTTGTACACGGAGTGCATGACTGAAACGCTGTGAAGCCGAACCTCTAACAAAGGTGGACTGCAGCGTGATGTTGATAGCAAAGTGTACTTATATCACACCGAACTGCGCTCCACAGACTGCACACACTGACTGTGCCTTTTCGAAGAGTGAGGAAACGTGCGAAAGACGTTCACCAACCTCACATAAAGCAAGGTTATCATCTCAGTTGGTCATTCCGAAAATATGTATGCAGGACCTGACATATTTACAAAACAAGTTTGACCAATAAGTTAACCCCATCGACGTCAAACCAAGGTGGTAAGTGGCTGGCTTGTGCCGATAAATATTGTGTCTAAACTATTCGTATGGGCAGAGCCGAAAGCAGCTTTGCGGTTTTTTTTTCTAAAAGCGAGTTCATGAGGTCATAATACGCGAGAAAATGTCGTATTGAAAAGTGTATCTCAGCTTAACATGTCGAATTTACTAAACAAATGACAAACAGTCTTTCCCCAAGCAACTTGTGGAAGCTTCAAATCGAACGGTAGATGTACTTGACGAAAAATCAACAACCCCGAGTCAGAAACCACAACAAACAGGCAGCTTACAAGGTACTCCAAAACATCGAGCAGGTGACTGATTTCTTGTGAGTAGTGCAAGCCCATATGGCTTTTCGCAAGCAGACGGCGGACTTTCTTTCTAATATCGGGGAGACTGACTTCGAGCATTACCATGAACGAGATGAGGTTGTGCATCAAACCAGCTAGAAGCCGATCCTCCGCAAGCTCCAAATGTTTCTTTTTCAACGGGTTAGCCAGGTTGTATCTGGTCAACAGTTCTGTAGGACGAAAGTCCATACCTGTGGAGTGAAATACAGTGAGTGGTTAATGAAATATGATGATGATAATGTCCGGAATCAAGATTACCGAGCACACTGAATGACAATATCACCAGAGAAACCAGACCTAACGTAATACAAGGAGAGTCGAAAATAGGCACAATGATAAAATGTATGAAACGGTGATCAAAAGCCACAAAATCCCGTTCGAGACCCCCCCCCCATCTGAATAAGCCTGATGAAATATTCACTGATGCTTCACAAAAGATGGCTAAACTTACTGAAATAGGGATGAAACAGAACAACCGAGGGACGGACTGGGAGACAGGCTGAGCACCCAGCAAACAAAATTACATGAATCCTCGAAAATGCAAGGATCCGGTTAACATAAACGATTGTTTTAACATAAAACAGTAGGAGAGAATACCACTTTTCCCGGTGGTATTTAACTGTAAGCGGATCAGCAACACTATCTCAACAACATATCAATGTTACTATGTAGCTGAAATCGTTCAGCTGTAGCACCCTTTCGGTGCCCGAAGGAACCAAGATGGCTGGGATACTGCCGGATTGCCCAGGCTTAGACAGGGAAAGTCGAGAACTAGAGGTCTGGTTCGAAACACGGATCTTTCGGTTAGTAAATTCGCGCTATAACCATTAGGACATCTAGTTGAAGGAAGAAACAGTTACTCTTGTGAGCCAAAAGTGCCCCGCATCCGAGTATACCGGTCGGGCTCGAACCACGGATGCCCCGGCCAAGGAATTCGCTCCCTAACCACTGCACCATCTAGCCCCGCTAGAGATAGCTCATTGGTTAATGCACAAAGGTCCGTCGTTTGAACCCAAACCCCAGTGTTTAGAGTGCTACCGCTTAGGCTTGGTCAATCTGGCACTATCTCAGACTTCCTGATGACGGCGCGCAAGCCAGGCCCCACGGGGTCCACGGAGCGTTTTTGGCTGCCTTCGGAATTCTCCTGGTCCAGTAAACCTTGTGAGAATCTCGACTAAAATACAAAATTGCTTCGTGTAGATATTCCAGACTGTTTTGGATTGTGATACGGCCCGTGTTGGGTCTACTGAGCACGCTGCTCATTTCTAGGGATCCGAATCCATTTGACTGGGGCTGACAAAGAGACCACAAAGGTTGGTTCTAACATGTGCTCTCAGATACTCCTGACGTTTTGAACAAGTTTGTCAGTGCTTGTCCGAAACCTTCTAGACTATAGGCAGTGAAGGATTAGACCTAGTGGCGAAAAATGACAGGCTTTTCAAACATACGTAACGAGCTATCCCGTTCCCAACCAGGCAGGAGAACAAAGCAACCTGGCTTTATCATCACAAACGGCTAGATTTAGGTGGATCACACATTGCTGATTGACTGCTCCGTACTTCAGTGACAAACGAGGAAAAACGATAAGGGATAACGGGGATTACTAAGCTACCCTTCGTAGTCCCTTGTATCCTGCAACCAGTTCCCTTCTGTCAAAGTTATGTCCCCAGTGCCAACGAGTTAGGCGCCGGTGCAAACACGTATTGTACTATAAATGCAGGGATGCCCAGTGGGTCACCAGCCGAATAAAGTTCACAGAAACTGCAAATAGGCACAACAGGATCATTCACCGGACTGGTCGAAATCGAAAACTGACACGGATACACTGAACAGCAAAAACTCCACCTACCCAAGATATCACGCTCCTGGGCCACGGCATCTAGAAAGGCATCTTCCCAAAACTGCATATCGTCCCACAACTTGTTTCGTCGACCACTCTCATTCACCAGATCCTCGAATACGTAGGTGCGCCCCGTCCGAGGTTTTCTTGTCCGCTGAGCTTGCAAGTTGGATTGATGTATCAAATCCTTCATATCCGATTCAGCAAACGAATGACGATGAATAGGCAAAGCGTTGATGGACGGGTTATTAGACGTTTCCAGTTGAACCAAACGGGAGCGGATGTACCTGAGATGGGGAACAATGGTCGAGAAAACTGAAACCATCCACGAAGCTTAAAATTTTTATAGTACTAGTGCAAATTAAGGTAAGTGACGAAAAAAAAGAAAACGATGTAGTGTAGTTTATTTTGTACTGAGACACCAAAAACGCTGCCCAGCTCGAAATGGGGCAATCAGTTCCGGGGTGTAGACAAAATGAAAGGTGATGGGGTGCATGAGTGGCATCTTGCTGTATTGTTTGCAGTAAGTAGTGTGACAAGTAGTATCACTCGCAAGAAAAACCACACACACTGAAAAACAGTTGCCATAGAGAAACTCCTTGACTGTAAGTATGATCTTTCCACAGTACTGAAAGACCAGACCTAATACAACTCTACAGAATCCGATCCGATGCTGACAAACAAGCTAGTGAACCCATGTGGCAAAGGAAAAATTAAAAAAAAATATGATCTTTCTACTGAAAGACCAGACCTAATACAACTCTACAGAATCCGATCCGATGCTGACAAACAAGCTAGTGAACCCATGTGGCAAAGCAAAGGTTAAAAAAAAATCGTTCGGCTGTAATACCCTTTCGATGCCTAACTGCTATGCCACACGAAGGAGGCACGAGGGCTGAGATACTGCCAGGTTGCTTAAGCCTAGACAGGGGAGGTCGAGAGGCAGAGGTCGGGTTCGAACCACGGACCTTCCGGTCAGTAAATAGGCCCTCTAACCACTGAGCCATCTCGTCCTCACCATGCGACAAGTAGATGCTAAATAGTGGCGTTTTCCCAAAAGATGGATATGATGAAATCGTCTCATGCCAACCGGCAATCACATATACTCCTCATTCCAGACTAATAATTTACACTACGTTTCAACACTGAAGGCGTTTTACACAAGGAAATGAGTGCTATACGGAAAACTTCATAACGCATGCTTAAGTGTTCCACTTGGAAAACTTCCACATCGTGGATTCTGAAGAAGCTGAAAAACGGGGAGGCTGCATCGAAGTTGTGCGAAGCTCTAACGCAGAGGTTAGGGGACGACCTCTTGGGCCTCTAAGAAACAATCGGCTGAACGCAGGCGGCCTACCGTAGTGAAGGTGGTATACCAAACCAATTGAAGGCTGGATAGTCATCTGTTCAATAGGAATAGGTTTCCCGCCACCACTGCGAGAGTAAAGCGTTCGTACGCTGCTCGTTGTACAGACTAATGAATCTTATTTTCGAATTCCGAAGACAGGTTACAGTGGCTGACTACGATGTTCACTTCAGCAGCGTCTCACGTGGCTTCATTGTAAAAAGTTCCAAAACGATTGTCTTTCATCAGCCCGCACCGGAGAATAGAAAATTATTCAGTTAAATGGCTTCTGGTTTCATAGCAATATATCGTCCACAGACCTGACATTTGCCAATGAAATGAACGCATGAGTTGCAAAGGCTAGTCAAAACGGCCTTGAGGAACGCGTTTGGAATAATCAACACGTGTGCACAGATACTGAGACTGAAACCTATTGAAATGATGTGCCGTCGGTGCCAAGTAAAACATGTGGGGATAAGCTGAAATGTTTTCCGAGACCAAGACGAACAACGGTTGGGAGACACGTGACTTTGCGGTGAAAACACGTGCAGAAAGAAATGCCTTTGACAAGTCTCCGAATCCTTGTAAACATCAGATCTATACACCCCGTACATGAGCCTACTTCACTTCCTAGCATAATCACATCGCATCTTCCTAGAGTTTTCTCACATCCAAGGTAAGCGAGTCTTTAGCTCAAAAATGGAAGAAATTATCCCTGAGAAAGAAACCCCACCGCGGAAATGGACTTCGCCATCGGTCTGGATGACCAAAAGCACTCGATGCTCCCAACATTTCGCATGACTACGTAAGATTTTGTAATCTTATCGAATTCTATGGATATGGCTCGATTTAGTTGGTCAATACTTTGAAAAAATAAGCATTTTAGACCGTTTGACAGTCGCAGAAAAGCTACTAGGCTGATCGACAAGATGAATAAATAAAAAATAACTTGTCGTCTTCAGTTCTTAAAATTTGTCTCGGTGTTAGAGTACATCGGCGCATATTCGCTTCTATTTTTCGTTCTAGCTAGCCAAGACGACAATTAGTCGTTTGGTCCGGAGAACACACAGCGAAGCACGTGCACCTTGTGGACGCACAAATATGTCTCGCTTTCATGTATTCAGAGTTGACGTGACTAATTTCATCGCATCCTGCCATAAATCTCAATTGGAGTGACGCTGCGCATAAGAGTTCATTAAAACTCTTAGACAGGACCCACTCAGCTTGGCCTAGTCCAGGAATTTCCATCAGTCGCATTTTGTACCAGAACAGCAACCTGAGCACATGAGGAGTTACAGAGTCATTTGAAAATTAACAAGTTGTGAACAAGAAACTCTAATGGATTGCTTGTTGATAGTATTCAAGTGGCAGGCACCTAAGAGGACGATACTTTTCTGGAACGAAGTGCCCCTATAAAAACAGGTAGAACAGCTGTGTACCCCGGGATGGACTACCATACTGTCAATACCAGGTCCTTACTCAAGATAATTTAAAACGCACATGCACAGTTCAAAGTTTGTCGGCGAGTACAGAGGCTATAAATGCAGATTCTCCAAACGAAGAAGTGAGGATGAAAAACGAATCAGTCATTAAAATGAACAGGATAATAGTCGGTTTTCAGAACAAGACACTGGCTAGGTTTCGCGTGAAACTTGAGGTTAAACTAGGACAGCGAGAACGAATTTACTCGCGTCACATCGTTACAGTTGAGAGTTTAAATGAGATAAAGAACAGCTGTGTAATAGACGAACAAAGTGGACAAGATGACGGCTATTAAATTTCGATGCCTAACTGCTATGCCACACGAAGGAGGCACGAGGGCTGAGATACTGCCAGGTTGCTTAAGCCTAGACAGGGGAGGTCGAGAGGCAGAGGTCGGGCTTGAATCACGAACCTTCTGATCGGCAAATTCTCTCTAACCATTGGGTCATCTCTCGTCCTCACCATGCGACAAGTAGATGCTAAATAGTGGCGTTTTCCCAAAAGATGGATATGATGAAATCGTCTCATGCCAACCGGCAATCACATATACTCCTCATTCCAGACTAATAATTTACACTACGTTTCAACACTGAAGGCGTTTTACACAAGGAAATGAGTGCTATACGGAAAACTTCATAACGCATGCTTAAGTGTTCCACTTGGAAAACTCCCACATCGTGGATTCTGAAGAAGCTGAAAAACGGGGAGGCTGCATCGAAGTTGTGCGAAGCTCTAACGCAGAGGTTAGGGGACGACCTCTTGGGCCTCTAAGAAACAATCGGCTGAACGCAGGCGGCCTACCGTAGTGAAGGTGGTATACCAAACCAATTGAAGGCTGGATAGTCATCTGTTCAATAGGAATAGTTTTCCCGCCACCACTGCGAGAGTAAAGCGTTCGTACGCTGCTCGTTGTAGACTAATGAATCTTATTTTCGAATTCCGAAGACAGGTTACAGTGGCTGACTACGATGTTCACTTCAGCAGCGTCTCACGTGGCTTCATTGTAAAAAGTTCCAAAACGATTGTCTTTCATCAGCCCGCACCGGAGAATAGAAAACTATTCAGTTAAATGGTTTCTGGTTTCATAGCAATATATCGTCCACAGACCTGACATTTGCCAATGAAATGAACGCATGAGTTGCAAAGGCTAGTCAAAACGACCTTGAGGAACGCGTTTGGAATAATCAACACGTGTGCACAGATACTGAGACTGAAACCTATTGAAATGATGTGCCGTCGGTGCCAAGTAAAACATGTGGGGATAAGCTGAAATGTTTTCCGAGACCAAGACGAACAACGGTTGGGAGACACGTGACTTTGCGGTGAAAACACGTGCAGAAAGAAATGCCTTTGACAAGTCTCCGAATCCTTGTAAACATCAGATCTATACACCCCGTACATGAGCCTACTTCACTTCCTAGCATAATCACATCGCATCTTCCTAGAGTTTTCTCACATCCAAGGTAAGCGAGTCTTTAGCTCAAAAATGGAAGAAATTATCCCAGAGAAAGAAACCCCAACGCGGAAATGGACTTCGCCATCGGTCTGGATGACCAAAAGCACTCGATGCTTCCAACATTTCGCATGACTACGTAAGATTTTGTAATCTTATCGAATTCTATGGATATGGCTCGATTTAGTTGGTCAATACTTTGAAAAAATAAGCATTTTAGACCGTTTGACAGTCGCAGAAAAGCTACTAGGCTGATCGACAAGATGAATAAATACAAAATAACTTGTCGTCTTCAGTTCTTAAAATTTGTCTCGGTGTTAGAGTACATCGGCGCATATTCGCTTCTATTTTTCGTTCTAGCTAGCCAAGACGACAATTAGTCGTTTGGTCCGGAGAACACACAGCGAAGCACGTGCACCTTGTGGACGCACAAATATGTCTCGCTTTCATGTATTCAGAGTTGACGTGACTAATTTCATCGCATCCTGCCATAAATCTCAATTGGAGTGACGCTGCGCATAAGAGTTCATTAAAACTCTTAGACAGGACCCACTCAGCTTGGCCTAGTCCAGGAATTTCCATCAGTCGCATTTTGTACCAGAACAGCAACCTGAGCACATGAGGAGTTACAGAGTCATTTGAAAATTAACAAGTTGTGAACAAGAAACTCTAATGGATTGCTTGTTGATAGTATTCAAGTGGCAGGCACCTAAGAGGACGATACTTTTCTGGAACGAAGTGCCCCTATAAAAACAGGTAGAACAGCTGTGTACCCCGGGATGGACTACCATACTGTCAATACCAGGTCCTTACTCAAGATAATTTAAAACGCACATGCACAGTTCAAAGTTTGTCGGCGAGTACAGAGGCTATAAATGCAGATTCTCCAAACGAAGAAGTGAGGATGAAAAACGAATCAGTCATTAAAATGAACAGGATAATAGTCGGTTTTCAGAACAAGACACTGGCTAGGTTTCGCGTGAAACTTGAGGTTAAACTAGGACAGCGAGAACGAATTTACTCGCGTCACATCGTTACAGTTGAGAGTTTAAATGAGATAAAGAACAGCTGTGTAATAGACGAACAAAGTGGACAAGATGACGGCTATTAAATGACAACGAACCGTTCTATGTTTTCTAAACTTAGGGATGAAAGAATTAGATTAATCGCTTGCGACGCACCTCAACTACATTAAACTTAACGGTTGAAAACCATGCTGAGACAATTTTTCGACATCTGGAGTGGTCGGACAAGCTATTTTGACGAAAAAATTCCGGGTACGTCCATAAACGGTTAACGTGTCGCAGTTGGAGTTCGGATCACGCGTTGTCCGTTCATCAAAAAACAAGTATCAGACCGGAGGAAGCGAGCAAAACGCTCGGGTCGCCATCATTTCAAGAGGTTCAGAAAGCCACTCTAAACCAGAGTTAACTCTGAGACTACCAGTCACATTACTACTCATGAGAGGAAAATGCTTCCTTTACATTCGCTAATTGTGGAAACACAACATGCGCTATATTCGTAATGCACTACTCATAAGGTCGCTGAAAATTCTTGACAGCCCACGACCGGGTTCGCCCTCCTTGGGGCTCGTCAGGTAGGTGCAGTTCCCAAGTTTCCGTCAACCTCGGGAAACTAGATTTCACGAAATTAGCAAAATACACTCATCTGCGAACTAATTTGGTTTTTGGAGTACAACATACATGTATCGCGATATCTCGAATATCGTACAGACTGAAACATGAGGCAGCCTGGTGCTGCACATTCAGTCGCCCGGAAACATCACAGACGAGAGATCCAGCTGGATTCCAGCTGAGTCTCTCACAAAACCAAATTAATTTGCAAATGAGTGCATTTCGCTAAGAACATGCACTAGCTACAAGCTAGGTGTACGGTAACAGCCAACGGAAGAAAACGACAGACTACCTAATGGGTGGTCAGGGAGAGGGTAAGTTTCGTTCCACGCAGGAAGGATGTTTCTGATCACTGTGCAGTTTCACTGAATGCTTGAGGAACGTAACGGAATCGGGAATGAGGTAGTCCGGGAACTCAAGTGGTCTGTTTCCATTACACCTCGTGCTATCGATGACCCTGAAGGACGTGAGACCGACTGGTGCTGCTGCTGGCCCGCTGGTCGTTGGAAAATGTTCGCCTACTCGTTGTAAGGGACGTAGAACCGGTAGATCGAAACACTTCTATCTTGTCAGGTTATCTGAAATCAAGTGTTCTGCGTTCAGTGAAGCAAAGCGAAGCGATTCCAATCAAAGCTGGACGAGAGACATGGCGTTAGTTAGAAATCCCTGTAAACATTGCTGCTCTTTGTTCTAGTGAATGGAATAGGAAAAATCAGTCTTGCTGAGACCGTTTCATCCTCCCGTGCTAACATAATCAAACCCAACCGGTGAGAAACGCGGTTCGTGAAATTATTGGAAAAAACCGGAGTGAAACATAATGTTCTATGAAACAATTGCCCGAAAACACAAAATCCCGGGCTACAGTAAGACAATTAAGGAAAGGATTGGTGGCTGACTTGTTGGACAGAGTACGTCGGGAACTTGGGTGCGATTCCTCCGACAAAAAATAGCCTAAGACAGCCTCAACAGCAACAGGACCGAGAAGGGTGGATCAAAAGGCGAAATCCTCCACTGACCGAGAGCACTAACCTATATCCACGTGTGCGGACACTCTTCGGGGTCAAAATGAGACCATCAGAGATGCTGGTATCCTGACGCTTGATCGATTCTGTGGGACCCAGAGAAGTACTGCTGGATGATGTACTTCTTAGCTTTTCGATGTGGGGAAGAAGCAACATGGGCGATTTCAAAGCGGGAGAATGCTTGCTTGAATCTGGACCCCTTTGTTGGGGTAATCCGAGTAGAACGGGCGTAGAACGTTGGTAATGATCAATTCCGGCGGATGATAGGCCAAAATGAGACCCAGAGCTGTCCGATATCATATCCGATTGAATACTTTCTGGAGAAGGTGAATTGACACCTGAAAAAAAGTTGAGCGAATTTCATCAGCGAAGAATACAGCTAATATCGGAAACATAAAACCGATGCACAACATGTCAGAGCTGGAGTCGCAAGGACAACAAACCGATTGGACAAAACATTAGTAACATCTCACACGTGTCAAGGTGAATTTACTACAAAGTTTCCCAAAGGACATTGTACGAGAGCACAAATCGACGGGACGAAGGACGCAAGGGATTGCATGCGGACGGTCACATTAGACAGTGTTCACAGCTTAACACAAGTCAAGCTTCAGCGTACTACGGAGTAAATGCTTTGAAAAAACTGGCGTAGCTGGGTGCGAAGCAGATTTGCATTTATGGATCTTCACTTGAGGACTGCTTTGAAACTCATCCGGTTTTGTGGACATCTTCCCCAAGCTCCTCTGTATCACCTTCCTGTCGCCTGGGCTCCGAAGAGCAGAGTGAATGACAGAATGCGAAGAAGGCGACTTTTCAGTCCAACTGTCTCCCTTTGAGCCGAGTACGATGGGAATCGGTGTCACAGGTCCGTGAAGGTTGGATGTAGAGGATGAAGAGGGTGCGGCAATTGAAGCATAAATTGCGGACGCTGCTTTGTGTAACCGCAAGGAGGAGGCACGAACACTAAGTTTGAGGGCGTAAAACACATCTATCGCCCGGTTGTCAGGTTGATTACCAAACACCGAGGAGAACCGCAAACTTCTCTGAGGGAATAACGTTGAGGCCTCAGTAATTTTACCGTTGGGAGTTACAGGACGCTTAGCGTAGATGAAGGAAGCTTGTTTGGTAGGAGAACGGCAGGGAATGAAGATTACACAGGGGAACATACACATCCAAAGAAGCTGGGCAAAATAAGTGAGATATCAAAAAAAGGTCCACCAAAAGTGACATAAATTAGTTGCTCATATGGAATAAGCGCTGGACCAATAAATTGCGTAGGGATACGGTCAAAAACCCGTTGCGGTGGTTGTACCCAAAAACTCTGCTGGATGAATGCGGGAGAGCGGTAGCAGCTTCCGTTTGAACCTGGGCTCAACTCACCGACCCCATTGTCAGAATCATATCAGCTATAATGACACAAGAACAAATGTGTCCTCTTGACCGGAAAAGAGAAACTTGAATTCAATAAGAATCTTCTATGGAACTGTCTTCGTGTGGGTTCAATATCACCCTTACCAGGAAAAACCTAACTACAGGAATACCAAGCACTTCCATGATGAAACGCGTTCACCTTTCCACTTCATCCTTTTCGCTCACTGTCTGGCAGGTAACCGTGGATCAAACGACAGAGTCTAATGTGGCTGCTAATATTTCTGTGAAACAGACCTTGCCAATAAAAAAAATTATGCCAGTGTGCCCTGTGCACAGGCCTTTTAGCACGTTCCAACAGAGCACAAGCTTTCCAATTTTCACTATGAAGATGAGAAGGCATTGAGTCTGTTGGTATGGTGTCATCCTCCTACCTTCCAATTCGCCGTAGAAATTACTGGAGACGAAGGTGCTACTCATTCTCAACCACACAGACTTGTGTGTATATTCCCCATTGTCAACTGAGACGACGAACCATTGGTGAAGTGTGATGCTTCGTAGCGAAAAGAATGGTGCGAGAATGGAGTTACGCAGAGACGTTTCTGGACAGTTTTCAGCCGATTCCGACATACTCTAATGGGGGTCGGTTAGCCAAACACCCCCTCCTCCCATCAAAGAGGTTCATGAAGCCATCACCGGAGTAGTTTCACTCACTGCCATCTCGGGGATATGTCAACTAAAGTGAGGAGCGGAAGCGCACATTGCGCGCCCTAACAAAGTTGACAGAACATTGCATACTGCTCGTGCACTCCAACAGACTGCATAAGAGATAACTTTGACTTTATCTACGGATTTCCGTTGCCTGTCAGCAGCTCGCTTATTCGATCCCAGCTTAACCACGCGCCTGAATTCGCCCTCAGAAATTAAGGTCGATATTCGTGTGACTCAGGCTTCATATTTCCTAATAGCTCTCAGCGAATGAGTCGAAGCCACTTTCCTGGAATGGAAAGCAGCATACAGTATGCCATGTGAATCGTCTTTTGTCACCTCGGTAGCGGGGAACCGCTTAAGAATTTCTACGTTCAACCAAATAGCCCGCTTCAACCTTCTCCGGGGGTGGACAACATGGTGTTATCCGGGGATCTGTGTGTGTTAGCCACACGAACCCAGTTGAATGTCCTCGACGATTTTCATGGCATAGGATGGGCTCAGTTTGCTGTCCAAGGTGCTGGGACCAACGATTGTGGATACTCCAACCGTACAGGTACAGTATGGATATCTGCCGAGGGCCTCTGCTTACTATATCCACGACGTTCAATTTCCGCCTACTCAGACCAAAAAGAACAGAAAGTTAACCGATAGGGTGTGGGTTGTCGTAGAGCCTAGTGGACGACAGATAAGCTTGGGATGCGTACTAGCAAAGCGTTGAAACCAGTGTGGACTACTGGTGACGGCCGTCGAGTAATCCGTTTAATACACTCGACCGGTCACAGAAGGGTAGATGCAAATGAAACTAGTTGCGAGAACGATGGAGTACTGGTTACAGAAAAGGGACCCCACAGCGGGAGGTTCAGTGTAGAAACGACTAAAACAGTGTCAATATCCATGAGGGAAGCAGGAAATAAGTTTCTTGTTAATCGCATATATGGATGTACTCTGGACAAGACTAAAAACTGTGTTTAACTAGCTGTCTTGATATCATCGATACAGAAAGATTATACCGAAATCTGGATTGGATAGTGTCAGTATCTCTGATTGCTATTAAGTGAGAGCAGAATTAGAAAATTCTGCTCTATACGCTCTTCATTGGAACTAGGAGACAGTTATCTTTGTACAAGGCACATTCTTCGTGCACACTGAAATATTGCGCACTGTCTGCAGGAACAACCCAATGATTTAATACGTCATGATGCCTGGAATGAAAACAAAAGCCAGTGAAAAAATCCTCCCCGTTGTGGAAACCATTGCCACGACGAACTGGCGTTCCTTCAAGATCAGTTTTAAAAACCATACATCACTACCAACCATGAGAATGGTCGAACTCACCTGGCGTATCGTTATTTTCGGACGGCGGAGGCTGAAATCAAACGTGTGCGAACGAATTCAATAACTGACTGACGAGACGAACATATGCACACAGAACAAAAAATACCAGTATGACATACAGTAGCTTCTAGTAGAAGGGTCAAATAACGCAGACTTTCAAACAAGAGCCAGTCTCCGTAAACCGAACACGGTGAATTACCTAAATCGGGAGCATCAGATGGGATTCAGGTATACTTATCATCAAGGTCAACCGTACAGGAATTAGATGCGGTGGTACTAGTTTTAGCAATAACAAGCAAACTGGATGGGGGAAGCTATGTGGTAAAGCCAGCAACCCAGTGTAAATCCCGTAGGGGCATGTTTCTATTGGTGGTGAGGCGAACGACGAAGTGAGTTAGGGAGTGACGACATTCGCCTCCTCCAACGAGTTTTGGATTGGTCGCATCAGGAATGCTTAAATCTTAACATAATAGCTTGCGCCCAAAATAATTAACGAATTGAATCTATCCATCGTTGCTCTGTATTGGGTCGAGCGACGCGACAGAAAAAAAACGATCTAACCGGCGCAATGTATGAACTATTACAATACAAGGCTGTTCAATTCCAATTAGCTCGACAGCAGGAGAGCACAAAGACGTTTGCTTATCGATTTCAAACATAAACTGCCCGTTGCACGGCACAAACGATGAGCGTTACACGCATACCCACTCATTAAAAGAAACCAAGTGTGAACGTGAGTAACATAGCTGTCGGATCGGTAAACCTGGAAAAATGAGCAACATTCGACAATCGAATGATTAGATCCAATTGCTACCGATTGGACAACATCAGTAGGAGGTTAGCAAGCTCAAAATTTAGTCGGCTGACCAGTAAGTCTTGTCCGAAACGCCATTGAGGAATATATAGGTATAAACATATAGAGTCATTCTAAAATCACCGAGAAACTAAATTGAACCAAGATAAAGGTAACATACGGAACGAAGGTCAGAGATCGCAGATAGGGTTGCAGACGAAAGGGAGTTGCGCGAGAGTGTGGAGTTCGATTCGGGGCCGGGGGTCATGAATCCGCGCGCGCCACGATCTTGTCGTATGGGCAGTGGATAGAAATGAGTGTGTGCCAACTCAAGTAGAGTGAATGCAGACGCTAATCCACCATTGTTTGGCTGCACCGGTGGTACGGTCGACCTGGAAGATCGTTGAATGCTGGATTCTAAGTGGACATTGGACGGAGTCGGGATGAATATGTCCGAGCGCAAGCTCATTTCTAAACCAAATGCAATTTGTTGCAAAATCCAAACGAGGGCTTTGTATTGATTCCAGGTTTCAAGAGGCTGTGAAGGCGAAATAATGTTGAGATATGTGAGTTCAATGCTCTCAACACTGTAGTGAAAATGTGAGAGATAGGTGGTTGGGTGATACCGGACGATTTGATGATAATTTAAGCGATGCGGAAATCCGAAAAAAAATCCATGGTCTTAGTCAGTTGTAGTCCCAGAGAACTGTATTCCATTTACCGTAACTTGTCTCGGTGACGGATAAACAGCATTACTGAGTGTCTTGCGGATTAAACGTAGATGTGTGGAAATACCCTCCCCTCAAAAGAGAGTACTTTGGTTGTGATATACTCTGGTTAATAGTAGAAGACGTTCAGCTGTAACACATTTTCGGTATCTAGCTACCATGCCACCCGACGTTTGCACAAGGTCTGGGATACTGCCAGGCCGCCCAAGCCTAGACAGGGGAAGTCGAGTGGCAGAGGTCGTGGTTCGAACCACGGACCTACCGATCAGTAAATTCGCGCTCTAACCACTGGGCCATCTCGCCCATGGACGATAAACCGTATACACATCGCACAGTGGTTTGCTCACCTTTGATTACCCGATTGTAAGGACAGTACCGTACGCTGGAGGCAGCAGATCTCAAGACATTGATTTGCAGATCGAGTTAGGAAAACATGTAGGTCTGTCAGGTGTCGGAGGAGTCGTTCGGCTTTATGATGCAAGCAGCTGCTGGGAAACAGGAGTCATTTGGTACCTGACTGGGTTAAGTCTGCCAGTGTCGCCAACCCCTATTGTAGCTCGGTTATAAAACCCAACTACAGACAATATGAGTTTTGAATGATTTGCTGCCAGCTTATATCCCAGTCTCTCCCAGATCATAAACTAACTTCATGATAAACGGGCTTTGTAAAGTGTCTATTTCCGTAGCATCTGCTAGGCGTCACCTATTCATCTGACATCCAGCACTACTAACCCCACGTGCCCACCAGAAGCCAGACTCGGGGGTGACAGAGACTAACAAGGACGACGTTTTTAGCATTTCTGCACACATTAACCCGTTGTTCCAGAACCTCAGCCATCACACGGTTTAGACCTAGGCAAACGAGCTAGGTCCCAGTGACGCAAGGGAATCAATCAAATCGACCGGTCAGCTAGATAGGTTGGTTTATTCGCAAAAATCAGCCTTTGGTTTGATCCCCAGTAGTTTCCCGGTAGCACTTTACAATTTTAAGGTGTGAAAGTAGACAGAACTGGGAAGACAACGGCTTCACCTGATAGCAGATGTGGCAGATCCAAGCGTAGTGGTGCTTCGCAGTAACCTATTGATGATGCCACCACGATTGGTGATGAAACGTCCGCAATCTAATTGCCCAGCTCAGCGAACAAGCCAACGAGTATCCAAGCTATCGTGCTTCCTTCGGGTGGCATGGAAGTTAGGCACTGAAAGGGTGTTATACCTGAACGACCTCGATTTTTTTTTCGATTTTTGACTCTGATGGATGCCCGAATGAATCAGGAATGTGGATCAAACAACTGAGAAGAAAATGGTTCTGCTAAGACTAGGGGTGGAATCGGAAATAGTTAAAGAAATATATATTTACGGAGAGGAAACTGAGGCGGTCATGAAAAGGGGTTTGGCTGAGGTACTTGGCCTTCATTCGAAAGTCTGACTCACAATGCCGTGAGGAGGGCCCAGGACTATGTGTGTAGCAAGCGTTTCAACGACAAACGAAGTCAGCTACGTTAGAACGCAGTGCCGCAGAATTTATGTGACAGGCACACGATTTGAGTGAATGCTCCACCGAGCGTGAAAAAATAAAAACTTCAGACTTAGCTAGTTAGACTAGTGGTGGACTGAGTTAGAAAAAGAATTTCACCAAACCTGGGCACACAATTCCCTTAATCCGACGTGACAAAAAGCGTCAGTAAAGGTGAAGAAAATATAACTTACTACATCGTCAATATACTGCTGAGTCGCATCGTTCAACGCCGCACTCATATTCGGCTCGTTCAGTCGAGAAAGAATCAAATTCCTATGATTCTCAGACTCCATCATAGAGATGACCCGATTTCGAGAGAAGAAACCGGGAAGACTTCCATCTCTTATTGATTTTGCAACAGAAAGTATATAACGGTCATCTTCCAGCCTATAAAAAAGACAACAGCATACATACAAAGGAGTAAGAATTTACGCAATTGAAGTAGTTTATACACAATAAGTCTTTGGGGATTCCAGGGTTGAGAATTCCAAACTATATTAATCAGAAATCACCGGATGTGGTATAGTGACTGTCCTTCATGCCGAATGCCAACCGGAAGTACTTACACTATCTTTTGTTCGGGTTTCATGGAGCCAAACTGAGACCGAAAAACCAAACGAGGCTTTAGTTGTCGAGTACGAGTCAACTGCAGAAGGTTTGAAGTCGGTAGAAAACAAAATGTTTCATCACAACTAAACATTTCTGCCTGCAAAAACTGAGACCGAAAAATCAAACGAGGCCTTAGTTGTCGAGTACGAGTCAACTGCACAAGGTTTGAAGCCGGCAGAAAACAAAATGTTTCATCACAACTAAACATTTCTGCACGCTTGCGTCGAACGTTTCTGGTCAACCAACGGTATCAGGTACAAATTAGGAACTGTCCCACTACTACATACACCCCCTGCGGCCTGTTACTGTAGTACGTATTGTATTCTGACATATCAGTGTAACATAGTTTACTTCAATTGATTAGACCAAATGTATTCGTAATGTTCTGACTGTTCAGTCTAACCTCACTGAGGTGCGCAGTCTGGATTTACTCTGAGAGAAAAATAATCCGGGTAGGAGCCAGTAGTCAAGCTGAACACATATGAGCGGTGCGTTCACCAGCTGATGAAAGATCGGTCGTAGCCCGCAGGCCTGATTCGCACAACTGGAACTAGCAAGGACCTGTTTTACCCATGAAGGAGGCAATATCAAGGACAAAAGCGAAATCATCGACCATTTGTTCGCTGGTTGTTGTGTCTCTGATTGTCAAAAAAACAAACCCATCTAGAGGACAATCCACATATATGAGAACGATCTTCTGCAGTCTCCATCTTCTTACTCCCGAAACTTGTTTACAAGAATACTGCAAGTCAGAGGAGTCTTGAGAAAAACGTCAGCTAACTCATATAGAGCACATTATGAACAGTTTCCATTGCCCAAATTCTCCAGACCAGCGCAATATACACCAACTAAAACACCCTAAAACTGTTGTTCGACTAGCCTTGTAGAACAGACGACAGTTCCACAGACTACAGTCGATTTCACCCGACTTAGTTTTATCAGGTCGCGCCAACCCGTGAGTTGCGATCAGATATGAACAGTCTTGTTGTCACGTTCCGTCGTGGCTGGTCCAACAGAGCTCGGCAAAGTCATGTAAACACGATTCCAAGCCAATGTCGAGACAGACATGGAGGAAGAAAATCGTTCCGCTTTAGATAGGCTCTACTCACCCATATATGTTTAGCTAATTGATTGGTAGTGGACACCAATTAGGCGACAGAAGTCAGAAGTCAGTTTTGTGATGCCGTGTTCACAATGTATTGATCTGACAGCTGCAAGGAAACATCTGAAGTGAAGTTTTCTGCTGGGCCATACTACTAACGGAGTCAGTCCGATCAGAAGAAAGTCAGTCCGAATGTTTCAAACGCGTACGAACGGGAGGAGACGTTGCTTCCAGTAGAGACAGCTGATTACGAAAGGTAATAGCTAACGAGAGCTAGAGATCAAACTTACCGTCTTTTGTATTCCTTGGAGACCTCTCCGTTTCTTTGCAAACTTTCCGCCTCCGAGGAGTCTGAAAATAAGCATAAAATAACTCGTGTAACCAACAATTCGTAGTCACTTCGTCGCTGCACCGAAAGCAGGTCAGCTCCCATACATGAATGCGGATAATCGTTCAGCTGTCACACTTTCGGTGCATAGCTGACAGGCCGCCCGAAGGAAGCACGAGGAGTAAGATAATGCAGTGCTGCACAAGCCTAGAGAGGAGTAGTCGAGATGCATAGACTGGGATCAGACGACGGATGTTGCTGTCAGTGAAATCTAGATTGGATAAGAACACCCGATTGGACAGTGAAGACTGTCACTAGGATCATCGCGAACGTCCTCACTGAGCGAATTTAGTCGCAGTAGAGAAGCTTTCGCGAATAGGAGCGATGATATTTAAGAAAGTGAAGTGCTTACATCTCGCAAGTACGGTCATTTAAGAAAGCGAGATTTTGGTACACCCCACGGAGGAACATTCTTCTGGTGATCAAGAACTAGTTAGGAAGTGTCGTTCCAATATCGGTGGCCGATGTAGATGACTTCACTCGGTTTAACAGTTCCTTCAATTTCCTGACAACAATATAGATCCTAACAGGAAAACTCGCTACACATTGTTCAAACGCCATTGGAACTCGAGCCGTCTGCAACTCACTTTCACAATGTGGTGCCACGTTCAGACAAAACCTAAAACGTCAATAGCAGTAAAGCAGTTAGCTTGCTACGTGGAGCTCGTTACATCGGTCAGATAACCCGGACGTTATTCAAACGCATCCTTGAACGAAGGCCTTCCTAGTTAGTTGAAGCTGCAAGAAATTTTCATAGTTCAACACAAGCACATGGTGTAGACCAAGGTCATCTATTGGTTCTGTTCAGCGCCACCCGCGATATCAGTTTGTATCTGTCACGGAAGGCAGGAAGTAACCTACCGAATATCACAAAAGAAGTGACTACCGGAATTCACAGAGCTGAAACATGAGCATTCATAAGCATCCGACTCAGGTACCTCGCTCTGATCGGCTAAGTGACAAAAGGAAAACCGATCAACACTTGCGGCCCTGGTTCCTGATGTGTCCCCGTACAGTCCAACTCTCTGTCCTTTGGTCACATATCTCACATCCGCATAGTAATGATAAATAGCAAGCAGGCCGTTGCGGCATCCTTTTGGTGCACAGCTGCCGTGAAGCATGAGGGCTGGGATAGTACCAGGTTGCCAAAGACAAGATGAGAGATACCGAAAAGCCACGGCAGTAGCTTCGTGCCGTAACTGACGCAGCTTGTCTCATTGAATCAATACTAATAGCATAACTTCTGACTCACTGAAGCGGATTCTTAACGAAATTCCCTTTTCTATTCACAGCAAAAAAAACCTTTGGTTGTCAACGTCCCCGAACAACAGACACTCTAGGCCCATAGATGAGGTCAACTTGGTCAACCTTAACGGTTTGGTCAAACGTACATCCATTATTTGTTAACCCATTATCCAATTCTTCACACGTGACTACTGGTAGACAGCAGTAGTATCGTTACTGTCGTAGCACTATGGCTTGTGATTGACCTAGCACAGGACTGACGTGTAAACAAACCTGGGGGAATCACGGGACCCGGTAACCCAAGACGAGAATTCTTGCATGAGAAGTGATGTTTCATGGGCTCAATAAGTCTGGTGATTATGGACAACCCCGTTCTCGCTTCTGTCAGGCTGTGATAAGCGAATTCTTAATCTCAAATAAGAGAGTACGGGTGGTCGAAATCGGTGAAAAGCAGTGAGATTACGGCAGCTTACTTGAAAGAAACCAGTGTCGCTGGAAAGAGCGACAATATCGTTTGTTTTAAACGTTACATGCAGAAAGATGTGGAGTACGCATGGAATCGCAGTTCTCGGATGACTGGGGGGATTTCGTTTGAAATAAACTAGTTCCTGAAAGGAGGATGCCGCGGATGCTCCACTCATGCTCATCGATTTCCATCTCAGTAGCATAAAATCCAAATTTGAGGACAAATTTTTAGCCACCAAGCGTGGCAGAAATTCAAGATATAAAGATAAACCACATGATCTTCGCTTACTATTCGACGAGCAGTGCAATCTCTGCCAAAGGACACTGTGAAAACGCAGAATGTTTCTGCTCAAGCTAGCCTACTATTCATCATAAACTGAAGTGTTGAGGTGCATTCCACGTGGTTTAAGTGGAATAAATAACTTGGCACATACTGCACGTAACGTCTTACATGTTTGAATACTCTTTACAGCCGCTCAGTTCATTTACTTTGCTCAAGGGCGCCAAGCATATTCCACAAGTGCATTGAGTTTTCAAGTGCCACTTTATCCGACATAAGTAGTTAGGAATGAGGCGATATAGAGGTGCCAACATATTAAATAAATGTCTCTCAAATAGACTAATCTGTGACACCCGAAGTACCCCCCTCGTTTATAAGCAGCACCACTGTAACAACAATTAACCAAAGAGACTGTTTCCAACAGTGAAGTTCGGGCAAGCCGATCAGCGTAATTATTCGCCCGATCCTGTGGAACATGGCCTACAAGCAGAGAGAATATCCCAAAGTTAAATGTTTTCGATCAGTGGAATCTCCGACGTGTGACAGGATTTCGCTATCCAGGGGTACCCAGGAATGAGATCCAGAAAGGATATCACGATCTGTTACGCCCATCTCACATCCATCGAAAGCGGTTACAACGACTTCAGCATTCGTTTAAAAATGACGGTGCTGAAGTTACCAAATAAACCTTAGCACCTGTAAGGTGTCAAGAATGGGGATACCGCCAGTAGTCCGACAGCTAATCCCCGTGCGTGAGCAGCGATTATTCGGAACATTTCTCAAGCTGATAGTCATGCCTCAGGAATTAGCCGCTCCAAGGTATGCCAATAACCGGTGAGAACTAACATGGTAAAACGTGGTTGATACATACCACCCGTAACAGGATAAAAAGATGGGTGACACGGTTTTGCAACGCAGTCCAGCAAAGGAAATGTCTGGAACAATGAACTCAACCTTACTTGGGTGTCCTAGTAGGCTGTAATAACCTGAGAAGTGCTGTGTCCTAACAGTAACATAGACTTGCTGGATGGCGAATCCAGCGAATTGGTGATATGGCGGAAAAGTCCCTCGCCACATAAACCAAATGGTTCATCGACTACTGGACCAGTCAGAATAAACAGCTGAGACAGCTGTTAGACAGTTCCTCCCTTTCAAACAAAGCTTCTAATGTGAGTAATAAGGGCCTAGTAACCTGGAGGGTCACGTTTACAAGCCGTACGAACAACCAAAGCACTAGGGTCTGAAAACTTCAGTTTGAAATGTGCCCAACCCAAGCAACGACTCTGGCCAAGAAGCTGAAGCAGTAATGTGCCGACTTCTGACAAAGGGGTCTGATAAGTGTTATATCTGCTGATTCGCCGGCCTGTGGTATCTGCTGCTGACCCTCTCCAGTGCCTAGTGTCGGAGAGAAAAAGACTCACGGAAGGGAACGCAGTAGCTATATTCCAACAAAGTGGGTGCGAGAGCGCGAGTGCGTGCGAGTGCGAAAAGTACAACGGCCTCAAGCTTTTTATTGGAAGGACACTGTCTGAACTTGGTCCAATGCTGACGCACGCGGTCTGGCTTTGGTACGAGGCAGCGACGTGCTGCATATTGCGGAGGCGTTGTCTGACCTTGATCAATGCTGACTCGCGCTGTCTGGGTTTGATACAAGGCTGTGACGCGCTGCATATTGAGGGGGCGTTGTCTATCTGGTTAGCATCTAGCGGACCTGAGAGTCTCGGTAGATTTCGGGTATTCAGTGGTTGCTTTCAGGAAGCTGACCTTCCTGATAATAGGTATAATTTGTCACAAACCTATTCAGTTACCGCTGTTCAACGAAATAATCAAACTACAGGACAACCAATGTATGAAGTTGAAGACAATCGCAAAAGTGTGAAAAAACAGGGACCGAATGACTAGTGAGAACGTGTGATTAGAGTTCCCTTTCAGTAGGTTCCAAAGCTCATGTCAATCACCGAGATGTTGGACAGAATGTTCCCATATCGACATGTCAATCCTAGTCGATATCGAGAGATGTTATCCGGCTGGACGGATGTTTTCAGTTCAGGGATAATATCGAAATGGGTTTTCAAGCGATCACAGTTCTATGGCCAAAAATTTCCAGGTGGGAAATTGAATTCACACAAACGCGCAAAAATCGGCAGGCTAAATAACTGGCCCCGGAAGCTAATTCTCAAGCGGAAACCCAGTTGAAATTTAGCTGAAAGTCTATCCGACGTACTAGAACAAAAACAGCTGTTAAGGATTCATCAACATCATCACCATGGACAGCATGACACACGTAGACAGGAGGACGATCAGGGTAATTAACCAAAGCCCTCAGCTCAAAAGCCTGATCGTAAGGCGCGGTTTTTGGCGGGAAATGAAAGTACATTAGCATTCTCACAGGACAAGTCGCCAGACATGTTCTAATCTTCAACCTGGAGGGTGAAGAAACTGTGTTCGTCAGGCCTTCAACCATTGACCAAATTGGCATAAGTAAGTGTCGCACGGACACCACCCAGTATAGCTCAATGGATCACCGAGGCACACACCCCGTCAAACCACGGTAAGGCCCAATCCCATATAGCTCAATGGATCACCGAGGCACACGCCCCGTCAAACCACGGTAAGGCCCAATCCCTTCGTGACAGAAAACGAACGGTAACCCTCACCAGTGGGTTTGGGCCACAGTTGCAATAAAAATAGGTTACATGATGCGAGTGTCTACGTGAAAAACTTGCATGCATGGCTGAAAAAGTCGCTTCTCGCTCTGCGCAGCCAGCATCGATTCGGAATAAACCACGAGAGTGTGATTCTTTGGTAATCAGTCTAGAAACTTTGGATGCCCTATCACTTGCATGGATAATACCAGACCATTGACATGACGGGTCAGCTTAAACAGATCGTGATAAATCAGCCCTTTCGAACAGTGCTGTCACATGAAGCTGTACACGGTGTACGTACAACCAACCCACGTACACAAGACGATGCAGTGTGAGGTGCGGAGTGATCGGGGGACATAAAAATGAGTTATGGCCAACTAGTTGACTCAAGCCTGATTGACTCATCGTAAAACCTATACAGTAAATACCCGTCATCCCGCGATGAACTTGAACACCACCATAAGGATCACAACGTTATGCGACGCTTACAATCTGTACAGACCAATTAGCCGAAATACATACAAAACGTCATTTAAAGACAAATTACAATTCAGGTCAATAAGTGATGCAATCTGATGGAAATTCTTGGATCTTTTTTATTGCAGAGCGTACCATTAGAAAGAATAAAGCGATTGTGCTTCGTGTTCTGAAGAGATACACACAATAGACGTTCAATCGATAATTCGACCTTCGGTCCCATCGGAGATGAGATGGGGACAGGGACACGTACTACTTCGCCTGCGTTTCAAGCCTCTTTCCATTAATTGACCTCGTAAGTGTTTGTATCGAACAGTCAGTCATTGGACAGATAAGATCAGGCCTTGCTAATTAGTACCGTCAGCTAGAAAGGCACACAGACCTGCTTCAAGACCCGGTGTTAATATATAGCTACAGTTTAGATAGTCCCATCACGTATGAGTTGCCGGCTTTCGCGTAGCTAAAGAAGTAAGCTTTGAATTAAAGAGTGGGTCGGCGAGAAAAGTTTGCTCACAGTAGTGCGACGCCCTGATATCCAATTCCGTTGATCAGCTTACAAACCATGTAACTGGGGTAAGATGGTTCCAGCTGCTACAGTTTCGGTCAGCGAAAAATCGGAGAGCGAGAAAGATATGGCCAGGTGTCGGAGACGATGATGTAATCGGTTGGCGAGTGTTGAATCATTTCACTTGCCTGGAGAGACGGTAAACTTGACATATATGCACTGAAGGAGACAGCTTCGATTCAGGAGAACAACTCAATGCGCGACCTCAATTATGTTAGTCCACCAAACAAGATTAGTAATTCAGAGACATTGGCGGTCAAAGTGCGACAGTTTTCATGCATCCTCTGCTAGTATAGAACACGTTTCTGATCCACAAAACAGTTTGAATAACAGCCACCGTGTATATCCCGTCCAGACTAATTGAAGTCAAGCCGTAGGTGTCGGAGTCGGGCCATCCCGATTCGAGAAGAGATCTCGTTTCTGGCCAAACCCCAGCCTAATGAAGTCAAGCCGTAGGTGTCGGAGTCGGGCCATCCCGATTCGAGAAGAGATCTCGTTTCTGGCCAAACAACTAGAACCAATACAACCTCCCAGCCAAATAAATTTCCCTACCACATCCACTGACTATCTTGCAATTATGATCCCCCTGTCTTGTGGTAGTGCTTCACACTCCACAGGTGCTACTGAAACCCGTTGCGATTGATGGTAGGAAGCGCCCACCTCGGGGAGGTGTAATTAGACACAGGTGAACTAATGATATTGTCAACGAAGTCAAGTGGCGTACCACAGAAGGAAGGACGACCTTGAACTGAGGCTCTTTATAGGTCACCGACGGCTATATGATCCAACTAAGCCCACGATTCGTTTGGTGGCCTCCAAGTAGCTTGGTGTAATCGCTTGTGCTGAAAGTTCATATGGGTCTGCATATAAAAAATCGTTCAGCTGTAACACCCTTTCCGTGCCTAGCTGCCATGCTACCCGAAGGAAGCACGAGGGCTGGGATACTGTCAGGTTGCCCAAGCCTAGACAGGGAAAGTCGAAAGTCAGAGGTCGGGTTCAAACCACGGACCTTCTGGTCAGTGAATTCGCACTCTAACCACTTGAGTCTGCATATGGGTTAACCTCAGCGGACCTGTTGAAGGATAGAAGGAAGGGGAGTGAGGGTCAGTTGACGAAAGATTTCAGGGTAAGTGACGTTCCTCGGTTGATTAGGCCCGGGAGCAGAGTGTGTTCATACATCGAGTTCGAAGATCGATGCATAAGGCAGCGGGCAGTCGGCTTTTTTGGGTAAGTCCCCGTGAAGTAAGGCACAGTTGTCTCATTCGTGATTCCATTGCGCACAGCAGATGCGTTTGGAGCCGCATCGGTTGATTAGGCCCGGGAGCAGAGTGTGTTCATACATCGAGTTCGAAGATCGATGCATAAGGCAGCGGGCAGTCGGCTTTTTTGGGTAAGTCCCCGTGAAGTAAGGCACAGGTTGTCTCATCGTGATTCCATTGCGCACAGCAGATGCATCTGGAGCCTCATCAAACTTCAAGCCCAGTGGATTCACAACAGTCACGGTAAGCTGCTGGGTGACCGGAGTGTGCGGTTTTTTGCTCTGACGTTTCCTAATTCGCCCTTCCTCTGAGGACGACCGCATCACGCTTGATTAGTGTGGCTGTTTTGCCCAAAGTTTAGAATGACCATTAATTTTCGTCCAACCGTAGAAATTGTCAAAATCCTATGAACACCAGCAGTATCACCGTATTACGAACAATCCTGTTTTTAAGATGCTCTGAGCTCTTTCATTCCCGAAACTTCCTCGGCTAGAGACGAGAACACCTCTAGATTGGAACCGCTTGACAGTTCAGTGCACCATGAACGGAAGTCAATAGTCTCAGAGGGATGTCCTGTGTTTCTGTGCCTCTGTTGAGCTATAAAATAGCCTGTTAATGCAGATGAACTGGACAGAAATGCCCAAATTCGGTGACAGGTATAGCTCTTATCATCTCGCAGGTTTACTGAAAAAAGTCAAACGTCTGAAACGCCAACAACCAGTATAGTTTGGCACAAATCAGCCCAAAAAAGTATTCGATATGGAGGTTATATTTCTTCGAATGCCTGGTGGGGGGACCAATATGACCACATGGTAAGGCAGTACGAAGAGCTTGGGTGTTTGTTGGTGTGGCCCACCTTCAATGATGGAGTCATCGTGACCATTATCTGGGCTTGGCTGAAAAAGTTGCAAGAAATGGCGTCTAACCAATGCCATTGGCGTTCGTGCTGTCAGTTTCTTCCCATTAGGTCTACAGAGCGATCGGAGGCACCTTAAAATACTTGCGGTAGACCAGCACCAGACCCATTCCGTATTCACTTGTGTGCTTCCGATATCATTAAACGGTTTTACGGCAGTGTTGCTGATAAACATGCTGACATGATATGAGACGGTAGACCATATGGTATTTACTCAGTTGTCATAAAATATATGAACATAGACACACTGCAAGCAAAATAGAATACGTCCAGTGATTAGTATTGATGGAAATCTATTCACGCTATTTTTGCACAACGTCACTTCCAGACAGATGGAGATAGTAATGCGAAGTGACTGTGATCACATCCGGTACTGCAATTAGGCTGTAAAACACGACTGATTGCCAGACCTAACAACGATTCACGATTCGGACGAACATGTGCCAATTATAGCAGACAATTTGCTAAGCGACCAACTTCCAGTTGGACTGCACACAGGGATAAAATAAGCGGACAGTTTGATGGGACAGAGTGTCGCATGGTGTTTGCAGTTTTTGAGTGTAACAGGACTGAAACAAACCTACGACAATGGATTCAAACGTTTAAAATCACTGTGCCGGTCAGAGCACATGGCTTTGCAAATTTCCTTGTAGATACAACAATGTCCGAGATTAGTCCACGAACACCCAGTCAAAACCGGAGGGATGAATTATCCATGAAACAATCCCCTCATTGCAAAAAATGGAACTATTATCAGCAGTGCCAAGTAAACCGAACAGAGGTTGGAAGCTACTAACTCAACTTTGTCTGGGGGCGAGATGGCCCAGTGTTTAGAGCGCGAATTTACTGACCAGAAGGTCCGTGGTTCGCACCCAACCTCTGCCTCTCGACTTTCCCTGTCTAGGCTTGGGCAACCTGGCAGTATCCAAGCCCTCGTGCAACCTTTGGGTGGCATGGCAGCTAGGCACGGAAAGGGTGCTACAGCTGAACGATTTTTTTGTCTGTTCACAAGTTGTACAGAATTCTGGAATCCGAATGAAATTATTGTTTGGTCCTACACTGCTGACTCTGTCCGAAACACTACACAACCCCGACTGGTATGCACTGGATAGACGATAAGAAAATTGAATACGAGGGTAAAATGGAGACAAAAATATAGCACAAGCTACCAACCAATAACCAGAGAATGTTATTTCATGTTCAATAACAGCACTCACTCATGTTGAACAGCTCTCCTAATAAGACAAAAAATGGCGAGCCCCAATTTATACGACCATCTGATATGACACTTCGTTTCCTCTGGTCGGGATCGCAGTCTGGACTGGATGAACCACCGCTGAACATTGAGACTGAAAGCCTGGTAAGGGTACGCAAGGTCTGAGTAGTTGACATATCCCCTGACCGTGAGTAACCGTCCTTGCCGGTGGTTAATCCTCTATCACCCTCACCGGATACTGTTGACTGCGAGAAGGGAAGGCAGAAGTGAAACCATGGGAACAGACAAGAAAAACGTGTGAACATCGGAAGAAACAATATGTCCTACTTGCAGGCAGAGTTTGTCTTCGAAGTGAATTTTGCTGCCCGAACCCGCCGCATAATCCTAGCGTTTTTTCCACTGGTGGAGACAATCTCCACTCTTCGAAGATAGACTGGTCCAGTAGCAGCACTCTTCAGTAAAGCAAATAGGGACTATACGACATCCGATCAGGTTCCAAGGGAGAATCATCAAAGTGCATTGTGAATCTGAGCAAACAAACTAACACAGAGGCAGTTTATCGCTTATCTTGATCAACAGTAGAGTAGGCTGGTCAGTGAACTAAGGGAAGGTCGTCAGAGAAACCACTAATTCCATTCGGCCGCCCCAGTGTGCTGAGACCATTTCAGATAGTGGTATCCGCCTCCCACGCAAGAACACTGGCTGCCACACATATACGCATCTCTAAGCGTCTACCGAAAAACGAGAACGGGCAATAAACGACTTTAGTCATTGGCCAAAATACTCATTTACAAAATAAGTTGGCGCTGGAGAAATCCCAAAAACCCCATATGCAAATTAAGTTACAGCTGAACGGATAGTAAACTACGTGAAAATGATCCAACTGTGTTGACAGACAAACGGATATAATAACCAGAAAAAGTCACGTGAAAACCCTATTGACAGTGCCAACTAAGCAATCAGGCCGTGAAAGAAAACACAACCAGGAGAACAAATCACTGTGGCCTTGAATTAGCCCAACTCCTCACCCACATATATGGCCACGTGATAGTCGGAACAGGTGCTGCATACTCGTGATATTCAAGTTGCAACCGTCTACAGTTCTCGCATAATGAAAAGGGACGAAAGCAAGAGCAATAAACCATCCCCGACAAAATAACTGCATATCATCGCCCATGGAGAAATAGCTCGCAAGAAACACGCAAGAAACAACACAGTGAATTATATGAATCAATGTCTTCTCCTCAGCTAAAGAAGANCGCTGGAGAAATCCCAAAAACCCCATATGCAAATTAAGTTACAGCTGAACGGATAGTAAACTACGTGAAAATGATCCAACTGTGTTGACAGACAAACGGATATAATAACCAGAAAAAGTCACGTGAAAACCCTATTGACAGTGCCAACTAAGCAATCAGGCCGTGAAAGAAAACACAACCAGGAGAACAAATCACTGTGGCCTTGAATTAGCCCAACTCCTCACCCACATATATGGCCACGTGATAGTCGGAACAGGTGCTGCATACTCGTGATATTCAAGTTGCAACCGTCTACAGTTCTCGCATAATGAAAAGGGAGCGAAAGCAAAGCAATAAACCATCCCCGACAAAATAACTGCATATCATCGCCCATGGAGAAATAGCTCGCAAGAAACACGCAAGAAACAACACAGTGAATTATATGAATCAATGTCTTCTCCTCAGCTAAAGAAGAGTAGGACCAAATGAATACATGAATCTTACCACACAGATATTACTGTATTTGTCTACAACCATAGCTTGGGTATTTTCTTTACCAAAACCCTATCGCCAAAGGTTTGCGTGACGAGCAATTCAACTACCTTTTTCATCAAAAAGCCATCCATCATACTTCAGTAGAGTTTGCGGGCAAACCCGATATCGTAGTCTCTCCAGGAAGCTTCCAAAGTCCGTAGACTTTTGTTTTGGAGGCATGTGTTGAATTCACCTGTCAAAAAATTATGCACTACTCCTCTCAAGTGACCAATGGTGAAGCCATTGAGACTACCCTTGTAGCACCAACCAGCAGGTAACCATCAAAACTGCAAAGAGAAAGCCCACATGTGCGTGCATCACTGGCACAGATTGAACGAATGTATCGGCCTCTGCTGCCACAAAATACACAACAACAATCGATGATGACATTACCAGCAAATGTCTATTCTGTTGCGGCCACCAGCAAAGCTCAGTTCAATCAACGCTGCCACAACACTGCTACGGTAACCGTGTCAAAGCCATTTCGTCTGACTCACCACTTCTGTCAGCAGTGGCTCAAACAGAGAAACACAGCCTGATCTAACGGTTGTGCCTTGACAACCGGGTCTATTCGGTTATACCTCACCTGACCCTTCACGTGTGTTCTCTCTCTCTCTCTCTTACTCTTTCGAGAGCGATATCTCAGAGTGTTTTGAATCTGAGTGATCATATTTAATAGACTTCACAGGTCTTGGCCCAAGGATCAAGTCGATCAGGACGGGATACAGGCTGGTCGCAGAACTACTGACTTCAAGCGGCACATTAAGTCGAAAGTTAAAGTAACCACCTGAAAATCCGTTACCTAACAAAGAAAGTAGGGATCACACAAATCGATTGGATCAACTGAGCACGAGACTAGTGCTTATCAAGGAGTTTCACGGAGAAAAAACACGTACGGAAACACTATTTTCATTGTCCCCTGCCTCCGGACTTTCATTGCTTGACACTTTGTCATGACCGTTGAGATTCATCTCCTCGTCCGAGGCGCCTGGATTGTCCGATAAACCAAGCACTGGTTGTGAAGGAGGATTGAAATGCGCTCGGAGAGCTGCGGGTAGCGGTTCACCTGGCCTCACTGTCACAGGATCCGTGAGCAGCGAGCTTTGATCTGGACCAGGTGTGGTCAGGTCTGTAGTATCTCGAGTCCTGTCTAGGTCGGCGTCGATCTGCTGGCATCTGTGGTGAAATTCTGCGAAGATAATTGGACGAGAAGAATAGAGTGTTACTCCATCAATTCTTTGATGACATTGACAGTAAGTCATCATCATCATCATAATGTGGACAGGGATTTAGTGCTAGCTTAACACAATCATTCCGAGGTACCTACACCTCCAGACATTCACTTAGACAATCTGGACAGAAACGAAACT